TACAGACTATTTGAGCCTTCATTAATTTCTTGCACCACCTGCTTGCAGTCACATGAAATAACGAATCTGTCCAAAGAGAGATATTGTGCTAGTGCAATAGCTTCTCTACATGCCATCGCCTCAAAACAAGCCAGGTCTGTGATGCTTGACAAAACCATCATCAAAGGAGCCAAAGAAAACTCCATTGTGGCCGCGGCATACTGCAGAGAAGGCACCCCTCTCTCAATTCCTCCCGAAACCATTGTGCACATCCATCTTGACCACTCCATCAGCAGTAGGTAGCCAAGTTCTCCACCTAGACAGACTGGGTTGAGCTACGGATATAGCCGTCCTTGGCTGCTTGATTGCATCTATCTCCACTAGGTACCGCTCAATGAAAAAATGCGTCGACAAAGAGAGTTGGATAATACCAACGCGAATTGTCTTTCTTCACGCTGTCCAGATAGCCCATAGAGTCACTAGTAGTTTGATCAGACTAGTATGTGGTAGTGACTCAATCATCATGACAGTCAACTGTGTGGTCGACCGCTCCCTCGTTTCGATCATATGCTCAACTAGTCCTGCATCATCCAAAGCCCATACACATCTGGGCATTGAGCACTCAATCATTGAGTGTCGTCAACAATCCTCCGTGCCACACAATCTTGTGGTGAACATCTTGTGTTGGATTTGAGTGCTATGCCAAATACCATAGAAGGTTATGCAGCTTACCTGAAACATCCACGTTCCAAAGCTTTACCATGTGCTGCCGAGGATTGATCAGACTGATCCATTCTTCCTTCTAGCCATACCTCACAAACTGATTTGGTCCTTCCGCCACAAAGCCAATCGCCCAAGCCTGTAAAAAAAGAGAGAACAAGTGACCCCGCTTGGGCTAAGATGGTATACGGGTTGTGCCCTAGGGTTGTGTTGGTTGCTTCACCGAACAATGTAGCTTGATCTTTTGCTGCACCATAGAAAAAAATAGCGCACCAGCTATAGCGTCCTGAGTAATGTCTCGCTAAATAGATTAGTGCATAATGTCTTGTTAATAGCACACTAACGTGATATAGCACGCTAATAGTGTATTTTAAGGGCGGCGCTATTTTGCTATAGTGCACTTTTTTCCATTGTGAACTACATGTCCCATCTTGGATCGGTGTGAGGGGTCGCCTCACGGGGCAAGCACACCTCCAAATATTTGACCTTTCTCTGAAACTAATTATTGAAATTCACCCACAGATCAATTACGTCAAAAGTACAAACACACATGCACACGGAAACTTTTAGCCAAAGGCACACGCATTGTCTGGCTCTTTTTCTTTTTTCCCTTTACTTCACTGTACAATCTAATATCCGAAGGTGTGTGTATATGCACGACCCATGACATAACTAGCTAGGTAGCTTATTAGTAGCATATACGAATTGTCGTGGGCTAATACAAAGAATCCAGCGAACCAACCTATGGTTGGATGGTTAGAGAGACAGTCGTATCCCCAACCCACCAGGGCTCAAGTCATGTGCTCGCATTATTTTAGAATTTTCGGCGATGTGCTTTCAGTAGGAGAGACGTTCCCGTTGACGACCAGGCGTCTATGATGACTTCATAAATCTCAAAGATGATATGTCGGCTTAGTCTCTCGAAGGTGCTCGTGTGTACCTTCATAGGAATGAGTGTATGCGCATATGTATGAACGCTTATGTCTGTACCGTGTTAAAAATACTACAAGGAATCCAAACCGGGACAACTATTTTAAACTAACCCAAAACAACATGTCAAAAAAATAAACTAGTTTAACACACGGCCGCCTTGATGGGACTATATATCTGTGTCTTTTTACAACAACAATAAAATAAAACTTCCTATCTTAACCTCTCAAAACCAAATGTAGTCAACAAAGACCCAACATTTCTGTTTGTACAAGAAACCATCGACGCGTGCATGTGCACTCGATCTTTCTCTCGTTGAGAAAAATGTGCTGTGACCAAAACTTGCCATGGTTATCATCTGTTTTGTCCACTTTTGTGCACGCCCTGGAAAGTTGCCATGCGGTGCACATCATTGGCTCTCGAGTGCACATGCAGCCGAACAAAAAATAATTTAATAATTGCAATACAAATTAAAAAATTCCTGAAACTTTTAGGAAACAAAACAAGACCCTGCTTCTAGCTCTGTCTATAAATTGTCATTGTTGTTGCGTATAAGGTACTTGAAATAAAGCCCATGAAATATGGTTTGAAGAGCAGAGTGGAGCGCTCTGTCTATAAATTGGAGAAATTCATGTAATCTTTATTTTAGTTATGTCTCTACGTATGCCAAAAATTCATGGAGTGGCTCACATATGTCATTATGGTTGTAAATTTAATTATCCATTCAAGTGTATCGATCCCTAATCTCTGTAGGCTTACTGAAGTATAACTTATTTGATATTCTGGCAATTCATTCGTTCATAAATAAATATTTCAGATTTTAATTTCTAACTTTTCTTCAAGCATGTTTTACCTATTCAAAAACGTTGTTAGTTGCTTTTACTTCGATGCATAGCAGATTCACTTGAAAAAAGGACGTTATATCATAGAGTAAACTGTAATGTTAATTCAGTAAATTATCGCCTAAATAGTAGGTATTGCAGTTGATGCAAATGTCAATGGTCCATTCTTTTTTTTAACAGAAAGGTGTGGTACCGAGGAGTGGATCCCTGAATTTCACATTTGTGTAAGGCATGTACTGATGACATTTGACATGCAAAAATTTGTAAAAGTTAATGTGACTACTATATTCATGCAGCGGAACGTTATTGTTTGGACATACATAGTACTTCCTCTATAATATAAGACATTTTTTGACATTGTCATGGACTCTAAAAATGTCTTGTAAAAAGTTACAGAGGGAGTAGCATTTATGTTATTTTCAATTAGAATAAATCATATAGCCATTTTTTATCTTTTGTAAACACAAGTGAATGGTATCCTTTTCATCTTGTATGCGAGTGCCGATCAAAGAACAACATAGAGATGTATTGCGCCATTTCGATAAATCTCCGGTGCATTTTGTCAAGAGAACTAAAAACTAACTCCAGTGCTTTGATAAATTATGTGTTTGCTTAATAGTAACTTGAATCTAAAATCATAAAAGTATGTTTGTAGTTCAGACATGCTTTGTGTATTCAAATTTTTGATTTTAACAAGACATGCATTGCAAATGCACGCTTACTTGTCTTTAATAGACAACAGAGTGATGTTAAATGCAAAAATAAACACTAACCGCTACTTCGTGTAGAATGACAATCCCTGGGAGGAGATCCTGACTATTGATGTGAAGCTGGGGTGGAAGAAGGGCACAAAGATCACCTTCCTAGAAGGAAGGATCTGATTTTTCCAGTGCAATTATGTGTTTCAAAAAGTTATTGGGGTGTAATTTTATATTAACACTATAGTCTATGAAGTTACATTTCCGGATATTTCTCTTTTCCCATAAGCTGAGGCACCATTTTATTTTAAAATATTTTCTAAAGAAAAGTTTGTGCATAAACTGCATGATGTTTCATGTGTGTGAATTGCACTTTAGCTACAAAAGTGAGATAACAAGGTGCAGAGGATATGAATGGTAGTGGCTTGTGGGGTCGGCCGGGGAGGCGACGGCGGCAGGGAGCAGCGGCACATCGGCTGACAACAACGCATGTGTAGCGCACGGCGACAGCGGCTGCACGGTCACGACGAACAAACAACAACTCGAAGCAGGGCAGGTGGTGGCAAGAGTAAGCCCGAATCCAAGAAAGGAACTAATTCAGTTCTGCCAAGACTACTATTTTTTGTGTATCTTTGTTCCAACTTTGCATTGACACCACTTGGACAATGTTTATGTGTTCCTTTGATTTTCACCAAGAAAATAAACGTTCCGAAAAAAATTCATAGGACATTTGATTCCATTTTTACTATACAATAGATTAAATAGGCTATGCCCTTACATTCTCCGTGGAGAAGTTGTCTAACCAGTTGATTGCCATTGATTTGTGACATTTTTTATACAGTTTTGATTTTTGTGGTCTGCTTTATCGTCAAAAGATAATTGATGGGTTTGTACATTTCTTTTGTTTATAGACAATGGATCATCCTGAGTATAAATTCAAAATTTTATACTCGCATGAATTTGACATGGTTTGATTGCGGCGTGCATTGCACATGCACACTTACTAGTTTACAAAAATAATAAAATTAAACTTCCTATCTTAACTTGTCAAAACCAAATGTAGTCAACGAAGAACCAACATTTCTGCCTGTACGAGAAACCATCGATGCGTGCATGTGCACTCGATCTTTCTCTCGTTGAGGGAAATGTGCTGTGACCAAAACTTGCCATGGTTGTCACATGTTTTGTCCGCTTTTGTGCACGCCTTGAAAAGTTGCCATGCGGTCCACACCATTGCCTCTCGAGTGCACATGCACACGAATTCAAAAAATAATTCAATAATTCAATACAAATTAAAAAATTCCTGAAACTTTTAGGAAACAAAACAAGATCGAGTATTGCACTCGTATAAAAAGTTTCATCCAGTAATTAATTTCATGGTGTTCTGGGCAAAGAAAGAAACAGTCAACACTGTATACATGTTACTGTTCATACTTTTGGGCCTCAAATTTTATTCTTTTGGCATGAAATTATTGGGGTTTTTCCTTGGCGAATTTTTTTATACGAGCAGAACAGAAGATCAACTGTATTTCCAGCAATTTTAAGAAATTTCTGACTTTTCTCTCAATTGCTAAATAATTTTTTCCATATCATCAGGTGTGGACGCACCCAAGAGCCGAGGGGTATTTCCGGCCATGCGGCCCCCCATCACCTAACCTTTGCTTATCCTTCCGACCCTTTTATATCATATAAATTGGCGCGCGGCGCGCTGCAGACTCACACGCCTAGAGGCTAGAGCCTGACACCCTGAGTCGTTACTGTCGGAGTTTCGATCGGCTAAACTTCCATAGCTCGTACGTTCTTTCAAGTGGAGATCCACCGACCGATTCCGATGGACAATGAGCTCGGTAAGGGGGTGGGAAACCAGGCGAAGCTCTTGTACCGTCGTCTCGTCGGCCAACGGCCTCATCTTCTCGCCCTCACGCTGCTCCTCGTCGTATCTTGGCTGGTGCTAATGACCCTGCTGTCACTTGACGGCGTGTATGCCCTTTTGCACGGCGCACATGGCGTCATGGCCGTGTCTGTAGCAGGCGCAGTGGCGGCTGCCTACGTTTACGCCTTGTCGTTGCGGCCGGTGTACCTGGTGGACTTCGCCGGCTACAAGCCTGCGCCGGCGCACGAGTTGACCCGCGCCCGCACCATCCACCGCTACGGACTAACTGGTGTGTTCACCGCAGAGAGCATGAGTTTCCAGAAGAGGGTTCTGGAGCGGTCAGGGCTCGGCGAGGCGACCCACCTCCCTGCATCTATTATCAGGGTGCCGCTCGACATATGCCTCCGCACGGCGAACGAGGAGTCCCACGCCGTGGTTTTCGGTGTGATCGACCACCTGCTGGCCAAGACCCGCGTGCGGCCGGACGACATCGGTGTGGTCATCGTGAACTCCAGCCTCTACAGCCCCACGCCGTCCTTCACCTCGCTCGTGGCGAACCGCTACTGCTTGCGCGACGATGTCGTCACCCACAACCTTAGCGGCATGGGCTGCAGCGCCGGCGTCATCGCTATTGACCTCGCCAGGCACCTGCTTCAGGTATGTACTACTTACAAGCTACACACATCCAAGCATCAACGGCCAAAATTAACCATGTGAGCCATCCTGAACGGTTTCTGAATTTTCAATTAGAACTGGATTACCTGTGAAGTCTTGTAGCTTCTACAGTACGTTGTTGAACGGCGTGCTAACCGGTTAACGCTGCAGGTGTACCACGACACATACGCACTGGTTGTCAGCACGGAGAATATCACCCTAAACGCCTACTTGGGCAACACCCGGCCCATGTTGGTGACCAACATGCTGTTCCGGGTGGGGGGCGCGGCAGTTCTTCTGTCGAACCGCTGCAACGATCGGCGACGCGCCAAGTACCAGCTGATCCATACGGTGCGCACGCACCATGGCCCTAGCGACAAGAGCTACGCGTGCGTGACGCAGGAGGAAGACGAGGTCGGCAACTTGGGCGTGTCACTTTCCAAGGATCTCATGTCCGTGGCCGGCGACGCGCTCCGCACCAACATTACCACCCTTGGCCCCCTTGTTCTACCGCTACGTGAGCAGCTCCGGTTCCTTGGCGCCGTCGTGCTCAAACGGGTGTTCGGTACGACAGTGATGTCGTGCCTCCCCGACTTCACTCTGGCGCTGGAGCACTTCTGCATCCACGCGGGGGGGCGAGGCGTGCTGGACGAGCTGCAGAGAAGCCTGAAGCTTGGTGAGTGGCACATGGAACCATCGAGGATGACCCTCTGCAGGTTCGGCAACACGTCGAGCAGCTCGCTGTGGTACGAGCTCGCCTACTGCGAGGCCAAGGGCAGGATCAAGAGGGGAGACCGCGTGTGGCAGATTGCGTTTGGCTCCGGGTTCAAATGCAACAGCGCGGTGTGGAAGGCGCTCAGGACGGTCGACGGCGCCGTTGCCGTGGAGGAGGGAAGCCCCTGGGCGCAAGACATCGACGTTCTTCCGCTCCATGTGCCCAAGGTGACGCCCATCGATGAAGATGTACCAGCTGTGTAGTGCTTGCGTCGGGTGGAAATAATGGAAGCGTGAATGCATGCGTACACGCGCGCGCACGCACCTGTGACTCATGTGGTCTCTTGAAACTAGGGACAATGCGTCTTGAATGAATCAAACATGATTATTGTGTACTGCACTTGAGAATAATATAAAAGGATGAGTGGTGGAGACAAAGGACTGGAGTATCATTTCACCACAATTGCTATATGTAAGTTTTTATTGAGGGGAAATAGCTATATGTAAGTTGGCTGAATTTGTAATTTGAGTAAATCGATTTTGTGAAAGGAGGAAGAAGACAGAAGGACGTTTCGTTGGATCTTCATCTAATGGTCTAGGAAATCGACTTACCCCCGCAAAAAAAAATCAGGCAACTGACATACAGGTGCCCCTATTTAGCGCTGACAAACACTGGGGACGAAAGCCTGAAATCGCCGGAATATTTCCAAGGTGGGATTTCGATTGTGGCGTCTTCTCTCGCGTCTGCGATCAGTGACTCCGAGACTGACTATTTGCTTGTTGTGTGCATGGTTTACAGCTCGCGTGGCCACGTCTAGACCATGTGTGCTTACATCATTTTTATTGTCTGCAACTACTCGACAAGGATCAATGATGCTTTTTTGTTCATCCGTCTAGGCATATCGTTGGTCTTTATGGCTTTGCTATATGCCAGTGTGATCCTTCTCTTGTGTGTGCATTAATGTTGACTATGTGCATTTTAACTATGCATATGTCGGGTGTACACTCTTGGTGTTTTGTATCCCATTGATACTTCATTATGAGTTAATAAAACTCCCTATTTCAAGAAACATATAGGTGATCCCTGATTTTACAGGTTATCTTTGTTTCTAGGGAACTGTCTATGTGCAAGTTGCCAGATTTTTTTTAGTTCCGGTCAGTTTTGTCTAGGCCGTTGGATTGATGTCAAACAGACCAAGAAGATTGTTGTGTTGTAGAATGTCAACTGAATTGTCAAACTGATTCTTGTTTCGACAAGGTGTGGCTAATCTTGGGCGTACTCACTCTCCTTATCCTAACCCTGGGTTCCATTGAATTCGGGCAAATAACTAACACAATGCAGAGTATTTGCAAAGATTCAATGCTGAGCCCGAGCTCACTTGCTCCCGGTGAATAGTAATTTAGGAAATAGATAACCAAAAATATGAACTGTTTACACTAAAAATGATGGGACTTTCTAGGAGCTTGCAAAAAAATTATCCTGAGATGACTTCCGGAAGGAGCTCCATCCAAAAAAAATTCAAAATCGAAGCTTCAAAATGTACGATCTTTCTCGAGTTTTCTGATTATTGTTTTTTTTAGGATGGAACCCCTTCAAGGTCATCTCAGCACAAAAAAAATTAAGCACATCACAATTAGTGTAAAAAAATAGATTTATTTTCATTCTTGTACTATTGGTTTTAAATTTACTATTCATGGTTAGTTTAGTGAAGTGTTCACACACGCCGATCCATAAAATCATATGAATTGGTTGATAACAATAAAAATAGTTGTTTGTGTCCAATTTACTTTTTTGCATGATAACACATCTCTCGTTTATAAATCATATATAAATCATAAAGATCATAGTACAAGTCACGTAGCTAGAGACCGACCTGGGAAAACGAAAAAGACAGCGGAGCGCTATCCTTTGCACAATGAAATGTCAACCAAGAAAAAGAAATACAATCAAGACCGAAGAATACCCTAAACTTAACACGAACGTCCATCACCTGCCTCCGACACCACCACAACAATCATCAAAGGAAAAAATGACGGATCACCTTCTCACCCGAGCTCGATGCGGCTTCATCGATGATATGCAGCTTTACAGACCTCCGAGACGACTCACCAAAGGCGAAGTCAATGCCGTTGAACGAATCAGACTGGGTGCACAATTTACTGTCTCTGTATGCTTGTAATGAGACAGATGTACATACATTGTATATTACATACCGGGAGTGCCTAGAACTTAGCTGATCCAAAAATATGTATTTCTCAGTCTGTCGGCGTCATCAACGTTGAGTTCAGCCTGATTAGTGGGCACGCCTATGTCTCGCGTGCTTGACGCGAGACGTAGGGGCAGCCTCGCCTAAAGCAATCGCGAGATGGGCCGGCTCAGGCGCACGCAAGGCAACAGCCACGACATGGTTTTTTCATGTAGTTTGCTTTTGTTTTTTGCTTTATTTTCTTAGTTTTGTTTATAAGTACTTCTTTTTAGTCTGCATATAAATTTGAAAATATTAATCATGCATTTGCAAAATGTTACAAAAAACACACAATGTGTATGAAAAAAAGTAGAAATAAAAAATATTTGAAAAATGTTAACCCGGTATTTGAAAAATGTTACATGTTCATATAAAAAAATGTTCTTGGTGTATATAAAAACATTTATGTAAAAAGTAGACATCCAAAAATAAATGCCTAAAAATATTAATCATGTATATGAAAAAATGTTAAACGTATATATAGAACGTTAAACATCTATAAAAAATGTATCAGATGTATAAAAAATGTGCGATGTGTATGAAAATTGAAAAAAATATATACAACCAAACATATATTTGAACAAAAATATTAATCATATACTCCCAGCGTACCAAAATATAAGACGTTTTTCCAGTTCAATTTGAACTACAAAAAACGTCTTATATTTTCATACAGAGGTAAGTATATGAAAAATGTTAAACCTATATTCAAAAGGTGTTTTAGATTTATACCAAAAATGTAAAATGTGTATGGAAACAATAGACATTGAAACATTTTTTGTAGAAAATTTTATTCATTTATTTGAAACATGTTAAACATGTATTCAGAAAACATTCCGATCATTGCACACCTGGGTAAAAAGGCTCTCCCTTTTCTTTCACTGTTTGTTTCAATCGCAGATCAATTCCAACAGTATTATGTAGATGTCGCTCCACGATGATAAAACGCCTATTGATCCGATCTTCAGTAGGCATCGTGTTAGATGTCGCCCGTTTCAAAAAACCTGCTACATGTGTCATTGCACGCCACTTCTCCTACTATAGTGACACTATGAGAGTACTACGGAATATTTTGTAAATTAACATAAAACTTCTGCTTTGCTATAGAGCAAATGATAGCTGACATGAACCAAGGTTGGCCTGTTCCTTAGACATAATTTATGATGTGGTAAGAGAAAAGCATATTTTGTGACTAAGTGTGTATGTTCTCTAAAACAATAGGAAGCACTATCTGATCCCTAGCATCCATCAGGCCTCTCCCAATGTTCCATGATGTATATATGCAAAGCATGCCACTGAAACTAAAAAACGACATGTCAAGACAATTAAGGAGGAGAGAGGGAGAGCGCGCTTTGATGACCCTAGGAAGAAAGAATATCAAGCGCACGAACTTAGACAAAACACTTAAACGAAGGAAGTCCACTAATACATGGAAGAATTTGTTGCTAAATTATTAATTGAAAGGAGCTGAGCTACAACAAATTAAGCACCTATGTACTGAGAACTTTAGTTGCTAAAATCTTTAATGCGCTTAGCACCTTATCTAAGCACCCGTGCATTGAAAGATGTGCCGCAAACTAGTCAATCTTTGTGATGGAAAAACAAATTTACGATGCAACATTGGTCTGACGATTTGGAAATGATTAGTCATATGAGGGAGAGTGTTTCCCTCTCTTTTTTTCTCACAGCAGTAGCGGCGGCAACAACACGAACAACAATACTATAAGGACAGGCGCCAGCGAACGTTTTGTTTGCTGGGGGAGGTGGGAGCTCCTATTCAGCACATCAGACTCTGGGGTAAGGTGCAACCCCCCCCCCTCCCCCGCAGTCCCTCGCGTGCCCTCACTGTTCGGCCCATGTGTAGCACAGGAAGCGGGAAGACCCTTGTTTTTTCTTGCTTTTTACTGCTTTAAGGTTTTAATTTTAGAAAATTCAGGATTTCAAAAAGTGGCGGATTGTGAAAACAATGTTTGTGAATTCAAAAAATGTGCAAGATTTGAAAAATGTTCGTGAAATGATAATTTCTCAAGTATTTAAAAAAATGTTCGTGATTTCAAAAAAAGTACACAATTTCAAAAAGTATTCATCAATTTATAAATAAATCACAATATTAAAAAATGTTAGGGAATTTCGAACATTTTCCCAATTTTAAAACAATATTCAAAAAATACAGTCATTCAAAAAGTATTCATGAATTTCTAAAAATATATTCAAATATTCCAAAAATGTTTGGATATTTCGAAAATTGTTCTCAAATTTCAAAGAATGTTCACAAAATTAAAAAAATGATCACTGATTCGAAATGTATTCATGAACTCAATTACAATTCTCCTCAAATTTCAAAGAATGTTCAAAAATTCACAAAATTGTTTGCTGATTCAAAAAGTATTCGTGGCCTCATAAAAATGTTCGTCAAAAACAAAAAAAAATCCTGAATTTCAGAACATTCTTCCCAACTTTCAAAAAATGTTAGCCAATTTAAAAACATAATTTAAGTGTTCCAAAAAATGTACACAATTTTCAAAAAATATTAAATAAAAAGTAAAATAGGAAAAAACAAAAGAAAAGGAAAAAATAAAACGAACAATAAAACTATAAAAAGAAAGACAACTGAATAGAAAAAACCTGATTCGGGGAAAGTTCTAGATCCTTCCACAACTGGTGGAGACGAAATACTGAAATGGGCCGTCCATACGAATATCCAGCGCGTGAGGGGGTGTACACGCCAGGTCGCTGGCTGGCGACCTGCGCACCAAAAGGAGACACCAGTGGAGTGCAATTTTTCTTCTTTTTTCTCCTTTTCATCTTTCCCTTAGCACGCGCGAGTCCCAGTTTGGTTTTTTTTTTCACCTGGTTTTCTTGGCCGGATTCCGTGGATTTTATTTTACACGGTTTCCTTCCGTTTTTCTGTTGCTGTTTTTCTTTTTCTTTTTTATTTTTCCTTTGTGTGTTTTTTCGTGTCTCTCTGTCTATTTTTATTTTCACATTCAATAAAATTTTCAACAAATCGATTAACTA